TCCACTTGTACAGGATCTTTTCCTGTTTGTGTGGATACAGATTGTCCGACAGACTTGCGTCCGGCATACTTGCGTCGAATCCCGACATCTTGCACGATCAAATTCCGATCGCACGTGTCGAAAACCTTGTACTTGAATAGTTTCGTTTGGAACGTAAAAACTCATATTTCGTCATATCCCAACATCCTTTTTCACACGTTTGAGTTGGACCCCGCCCAATTCGGCCAGCTTCAACTCCGTGGACCACCGCACTAAACCCACTATGAGCCAGCAATCGTGTGAGTCCCTTAACAATTGAACCAAATTTGATAAGAAAACTGCCATAATCTTTATCATACATTTTAGATCTTGTGCGAATCCAAGAATGCGTTTGGGCTTCAGATCTTGGGCTGGCTTCCACTTAACGTGCTATCGACATGGTCCAGAGAGCGTACTTGTGCATTGATGTAGCTACTGTTGGACATGGTGAAGACGGTGATTGATATCGCTATTGGGGTGTATTTACTGGGGCCTGAAGCAGCTGTGAGTAGATGATAGTTTATTGATCTTGGGCCTGAGATCGGCAACGACCGTGGGCTCTAGATCGCTCATTGACATATGATCGGGACTCGGCAGTCCAGTCAGTCACATTACGCATTCAAAGCTTTCTTGCCCCATGGAGTCCTGTCAAAGTCAGTGCTCTTACGATTATTTCATCAAAACTCAACAAAAGGACTTCACAGAACGAACATTTTCGAATACATTATTTCATAGTACAACTAGACCATCTGGCGTTGATTAGCAATATTCCTTCTCATCTTACCAATATCTGAAACTGCAAACTCATCAACGATTGCCTGAGCATCCCCCAACTCATTTTCCATCTTATGAAGCCTCTCCCGGAGGACTCTAATCTCTTCGATCCTCTGCTTCTCCTGTAACTCCCGTTGCTTCAAAGTCTTTGTTAGCGAATGGTTCTCTACGAGAGCTGTTCAAGAAATAAATGTGAGTCTCGAATGTGCCCACCATATCAATACACAATATCGTCGTACCATCCTCAAGTTTATTTTGCGTGACCTCGTAGCGGCTGTTCAATTCGACCATGCGTTGTCGTGTTTTCGAATCTTCAGTCCCGCCCATCACGTTGTCTTCGAGTGCATCATGTAGTTGTGAGTTTTCCTCTTCAAGTTGTCTCACGGCTTCTTCCAACTCCTCAACCCTGACTTCACCATCAATCAAGTTGATCGACTCTGACTTTGATAAGTCTTCGATCTCACCCATCTGCAGCTGACGAAAACGTTTGCGGAGACTGCGCAGTTCTTTTGAGACTTCCATTTTCTCCTTTTCGGCATCTTCCAAATGCATCTGTAGCGGCTTCAGAAGTCCTAGAGCTTCCTTCAGAGATTTGTTGAGGATCCGTTCGGCGTGTTCCTTCTGCGCAAGCTCGTTACGGGTAGCCAAAAGCTCCTGACTTAAGTCTACAGGACTAGTAGTACCACCGCCTTGTAAGGCAGCTTGCAACTGCTTAACTTGAGCATTGCGTTGGGATAGTTCCCGCTGAGACCTCTCAAGCTTCTCTTCTATGGTGAGATCCCCATTTGAGGTCAGTCGATCTTGTGCATTCTTGAGTTGTCCTTGCAGATCCCGGTTATTTGCAACAACCTGTTCGTTTTGCTCATGTAGTGAATGAAATCTGGTTTGCGCATCCTTCAGAAGTTGTTGCAGGTTGCCTTCTGTCTCTCGTTTTCGACGTAATTCTTCGCGAGCTCTTTGAATCTTACTGACGGAATCATTGTGATTTCTTGGCATATTTGTAACGGGATTGTTTGCAGCTTTCAGCAACGATTCCCGAGCAGTTGCCAACTGTTTGTGCTCTTCGACTTGTTGCTGCAACGACATGACTTCATCTTCGAGCTCTTTGATCTTGAAATTATTTTCACGTAACTGTGATTCCAAAACAGGATTATTTCCACCGTTACGTGGTCTAGCTGTCTGTGCCTTCTTCAATTTGTCCTGTAGCTCCCTCTTCTCTATTTCCTCAACCAGGACGAGAAAAATGTTTAGGGAAAACAGCAACAAGGCAATAAAATCACAGGATGTATACAGACAATCACTTGTTGCATATCTGTACCGAAACTGCATTCACGCACCTAGCTCTCCCTTTGTGACTGCATCCTGCAGTGGCTTCAGCAGTGTCACTGCCTCCTTTAGTGATTCTCTTAGCTCTGCACTAGATTCCTCCCTGGACTTTAGTTCCTGCTCATAGACGTTGACGCGTGATTTGAGTTCCTTGACAGCTTTCTCATCTCGCCGTGACACGGAGACCTTTTCTTTTGCAATCCATGCCTCCAACGCTTTCCTGATTCGATTCAGTAGCTCACTTGATGTGCGCGGCATGTTTTGTAGGGTTGTCTCCGAAATTGATTCCTGTGCTATCCATCGTAATAAATGCTGTAGGGACTCCACTACTTCTCCTTCGTCTGCGGCCCTGCCATGTTTCGTGTGACCTTCTTGATCAACGGCCTCCAATTCCTGAAGAGTCTCATCTAAACAAGTCTGAAGTTCTGCTCGTTCCCGTTCCAGTTGGTTGATCTTGGTCATCAGCTGGTCTTGGCTTCCACTTTTGAGAGCCTGGGTCGTTGCCATTCGAGCTCTTGCCTGAGTCAATTGTTGCTGGAGTTCATTCAACTGAGAATTCCATCCAACCTCCGCCTCTTTCCATTGCGAACGACAAGCTTCCAGATCTTGTGTGAGAGTTTGAATTTGCTCCTGCATCAGGGCAATAGTTCTTTCTTGATCTTGCACTCGTAACTCCCATGTGTATTGCTCAGCTTCCAATGTATCTTCGAGCTCTTTGCGAACCATGTCTGCCGTCAGAATTTGAGCGTGTGCTCGGTCTAATTGAATTTGTAGCTCACCAACTTGCCCGTCGTTGCTACTGGACTGACTGACCGCTAGTTTGTTTTGCAATTCTTGGACTCTCTTCTGAAGTTCCAGAACCTGAGCATTCGAATGATTGGAACTTTTCTGCTGGGAAGTATTGCATTCTATCGTTTCCTTTTCTTTTTTTAGTTGGCGGATGGTTGAACGAAGCTCCAAAATAATAGCGTCTGACTTGGCCAACGACGCCTTGGCTGTTTCATCTTTTGTGAGGTTTTCTTCGAGTGCTTCCCGCAGCTTGACAATCGTTGCTTCGGCTCCGTGCTGACGCAAAGAGAGGGCATCATACGCTTTTAACGAAGTCGAATTCAAAATGGAAGCATGCTGAGGCGCAGGTTGTTGACTCGATGTGGAGGATGCAACAGTAGAAGTGGACTCTCTGTCTCGCTTGTCAGAGAGAGTCTGGTTCCCATTTCTGCCCTGAGTGTTTGTGTTTACCGTATTCCCAGTCTTGAATCTGGGAGATGGGATCCGCGAGGAATATTGAGCATAATCCCTCATGACTTATGGCTAACCTGCTGGAAGGAAGTACCGATAGTAGTGGTTACACAAGCAGCCAAAACTGTTGATGGTTGTGTTTCCACTTCTTTTTTTTCTTTCGAGGAAGCTACTGTATTCCCGCACGCTGCAGTAGCGATAATACCCATCTTCGCCACGGATATTCCATGTCATACAAATTCTCGGTTGCAGTCGGTTTGGTCATCCATTTTTTTAAATAAAAAAGTCTTTTGGCGACCGAGATCCACAGCAAGGTACTCTGTACCAGGTAGGGGTACCTGGTAGTTTGATGTTGTGCGAAACAAGGCCGAGCAATTGGAAGGAGGCCAAACGAGTTGGACGAGGCAAGGAGACTATTTGTTTGCCTCTGACTAAAGAAAAGGATCCCGTTGAACGAGCTCCAGAAGCTATTGATGGCCGATACGTTCACTGCCCAATGGCATCGGCACACGCTACCGCTCCGCTCTTCATCCGCAACATTACTGAACTCATCCTCCTTATCCGCAGCATAGGAATGACATTACGGAACCCACAATGCTTGGTTTCGGAGACCAATTCTTCACAACACTGCTTCAGTAGCTCATCTCGTGGACCAAAGAGCTTACGCACCTCGATTTGCCAAGGATCTTTCTGAGCCTGTAAGCAAGCATTTCAAGATGACATTTGCCGGAGCAGCTGCTGTTACGGAACAAAGTGAAAAGATCAATGTTTGTTCTTTCAATCTCGAAGCAACAAAGAATCGGACAACCAATTCATTGTTGCACCAGAAGACCACGTAACCATTCTTCCGCCATATATATTGATTTTTGATGACCCACATGAACCTATGCCACTTCAACGAAGCGGATCGATCTCAGACTCTCTTCAAGGGATCTGTTGGATACCTAGGATTTCAATGCCGTCACTATATTTTACATAATGGTTTGGGAAAATAGTCTCTTCGGAATTTTTTTGTTTGAGAACAACAGATTTGATGCCAGTCATACCCATTTGGTCAAGTGCCGCAAGTGTCCGCAACCGACCAAGTATCATTTCTTGGAACGGAACTCAAGATTCAAAAGATTCGATCCCCTCGAATGACTCATTGGAGAAAGGTCTTCTATGACAAGATTTGGGCACGACTTCACCCAGAAGAACACTCGATAATAAACTCTGAACATTACGGAACCTACTGGTACAATTCATTCAAGAATATAACCCAAGTGGGGCCATGGAACTCTAGTTTTGCCGAAAACTTTGCTTGAAGGCTAGCTATGACGATGATGATCCAGCTGAGACCAAAGTCAGGTTGAATTGCAGCAGTTGACGTAAACTCACTCGCGATCGATGTTGATGAGAACCATAATCTTTTCTAGTACAGTACTGTATCATTTTATAAGATACCTTCCGGAAGATTCATTCATCGACAATGGTACCAGGTACCAGGTAGGGTCCTACTATCATGTCATTGGTTGGCCGTTTTAATTTGAAGAAATGCAGTTCTGACATTGATTGGTTGGAGGGAGGGAGGGCCAGCGCGCGCCGTAATTTTTACGTTTTTAATTTTAATTGATGAAAAGGGCAGGCCACAATCTCTCACATCATTCATTCATTCTGTACTGTACATTGAACATTACAGATCCATCAATCGAGTCATAATGTCGTTACGAGGAAGGTATCTAATCGACAGTATCAAGAAAAATCTGAACAACAGGCTTAGGATGCCCGTCCCTCCCTATCACAAGCCGCACTACTGGGAAGCTGCCTATCAATCATTTGGTCCGGAAGATTCAGTTGAGTGGGGAAGTATCTCTTTGGCAGATCTATCAAAATACGAGTATCAAATATTGGAGTGGGATTCTTCCCGCCCGCAAACAAACGCAACTATCAGTACGACTTTGGGAAAGACACTTTCGGTGGAACCGAACGGGGAAGAAGAGCCTATCCTCATGCTTGGCTGCGGTAACAGCAAGTTAGGCGAAGATATGATCCAAGAAGGTTGGACAGGACCCATTATCCAAGTTGACGTTTCTAGCAGGGTCATCGAATCCATGTCACAGCGTTGTGCATCCTTGATCACCAATGGGCATATGAACTTCATTGAGGATGATGCCACGGAACTATCTGCTTTTCGGAGTGGCATGATGAATTGCTGTCTTGATAAAGGTCTAATGGACGCAATTTATTGCGCGGATGAGCTTGATCAATGTCGGAGCATTCTATCCAATGTGAACCGCGTGCTCAAGCATGGTGGCATCTTTGCCTTCCTATCGTATTCCAGGCCGGAGTTTTTGCTTCCAGCCATCGCACCAAACGATGGAAGTAAACCAAAGTGGGAATCGATCCAGGTGCAAGGCCTAGAGAGTATCATACTCTATCGATTCAAAAAAGTTGCGAAGTCGGAAAGATCCAAAATTTCTACAAAGGAAAAACGCCGTTGAATGAATGGTCGAGCTGTGTCGTCAACTGTTGCCCCACTACATTGCTGATGTTGAGATTGAATTGAGAGCTGATATTTAGTGCTGGATTTCGAGTGACTAAACACCCGATTTTGCTGATGCTCAATAGCATGGACAGATTGCAGATTCATTCGGAGTTGTCGAAGTCTGAGGAGCCAACAATGGACTGGGAAACCCACACAGTGTGTTGGTTGTACAGCAGTCAAGACTTTGCTATCCCTACCGGTATAGCTTCACTTGCGTTGTAAGCCGAGTCGTTCAGTTTTGTATTTTCAATTTGAATTTCTGTACCGGTTCTGTACAGTAGCTACTGTAGAGTTACTAGCTAGCTAGAGTATTAATACTAACTAACTACAAAAATGATCTTGATTCGACTCATATGACTTATTCAATTTTCATTCGCAAAACCAACACCGCAAAATACAATTGGAACTAAGTGATGTTGGATAGATGCTCATCACTTTATACCCTCCTTGTTACGATGAAGGCATCTGATTTCCCGCACTGTCATCCACATATTGCATCCATCCTTGCACTAGAAAGGAAGGAAGATGCTAGGTATGAGAGTTTTGGTGCATCCTACGTATCAAGAGGTGACATGATGAAAATCGATTTTCCAGGGTGCTCGACAATCGAAGATTTGATTGGACTCACCATTGAATGTGAAGAAATTGTTTTCGATTCCAACACTTGTCCCACGATACATCGCAACTCCTTCCTTCGATCGCTAGTTGAATTCAGCCGTTCATCACGCCAGAACAAGGCACCAACCACAGCAGCCACACTTCTAGCCCTGAACTTTCTTGAATCAGCGATCCGACATTCAACCGGTCACTCGACTGGGCGAGCACCGTTGTTAAGAACAATGATTTCGGAAATTAGGATTCCCGATGTCAGGCGGGCGCTACAGTTGCTATTGCTTCCATCGGGGTTAAATTTGAGGAATTTGGTGTGGTACGTTCCGTGTAGTGGCGAAGTGTCTCACGAAATTTGAAAATGTACAGAACCATCTAAGTGATCGAACGATTCAATCAAGGCATGGTTTCGTTCCAGAGCTACCCCGACATTGGTTATCTGTTGTTGTTGTGCTCGCCATAATTCTACAAGAGGACGACCACGTGAAGATCGAGAACCCTTTGGATAAGCATGACTTGGACTTGAAACTTGTAGACGGCTTCGAGTCAGTATTCTTGTATGATATAGACGTAACAAGGACAACGGAGGCAGTCCTGGATTGGCTGCCAAAGACACACCATGCTTTGTGGTATCTTGCCATCGATTGGTACAAAGCAAAGACAAAACCCGTTTCTACGATGGCAATTCTCATTGTTCTGTTGGAGAGTGGCTTAAGGCAAATTTGGTGCCGCTGCAATGAGAAACCCGATCTAATTGCCGTACCTACAGAATACTTTGTAACTCTCGACGGGTTTGGTCAGCGAAAAAAACAGCACAACATTCTCCTCCACCCCTATTTGTTAGACAACGGAAGCAGAAACAAGTTGATTGAGTTTCTTCCTGGCTCATCCACAGCCTTGATTACTGATTTGTTCTGTTCGCCCGGTGGACCTAATATTCGGGGATTAGTTTCTCACGGTAGCTATGATGCTAACCTCTTGGAGGAGTGGGAAAGACATAACGATTGTGATGGGACATCCGAAAATCTATGGCAGACGACTCATACTGTTCTGGTTGGATTGCATTTAGCAGCTTCTAGGGAGGGGATTGATTATCAACCTGTGTTTTCCAATTCGGCAGTCTCGGAGCAACTTTTGAATCAAGCGCAAGTTCAACTACGAGAGCTTCGAGATCTGCAGGTGGACTGTCAGAAATATGCGTCCGTTGCTACACGCTCTATTGGTGATACCAAAACTATAGACGTGGTGCCTGAAAGCTTTGCGGCTTTTCGCCTACTACCCCAACGCAGAAGTTGGACTGCAGATGATGTCTTTTTTGAACATCAATCAAACGTAAAGCTAGCAAATGTTGGTGCGGCTCAAATGTTGCTACGAGATGTTGAGATTGCTACCGCTACTCACAAAAGAGAATTACAAGAGGCGCTCAATAGTTTGGAAGAATCAAAGGATGTAGGCAAACGAAAGCAAAAGAGGAACTTGCGCATAGTTGAATCAACTCATGCTGCATACTCACTCTATCGATTTGGAATGTGCGTTGCATTTCTGCACCTAAAGGAACAGTTGACAGAAGGCGACAAAACAGTTGAATCAGTTTCAATGAGGGCCGTCGAACGTGCAAGAATGGTGATATCGACGTTTGATACTTTCCTTCATTCGAACACGGAGAGAGCAATGAAGAGTTTGAGAGAGTACAATACGGCGAATAAAACGAGAGAGATCGCCGGCGTAATCTGTCATCAGATCTTTCAGGAGGATGCTAATGTATAAACCTTATTGCAATGTGAAGAATATTGTTTCGAAGAGAATCAATCCCTATTGTTCAAGCAAAGCGCTCCACTGCGAGTATTGGAGGAGTTCGGGATATATAAAGGAGGCGAGGAACCGTGTGTCCGAAGTCAGCAGTCATGCAACTGGTAAGTACATGGAAGGAGCCTGCACTTGGAGTGAAAGTGTGGTCAACAAAGGATTTCTCATTCTTTCGTCAGCAATGGAGAGTGAAGAGTCAGGGAGCAGCTGAGGTTGAGCAACGAAGCAACAGAGGCCATAGCTCGTCACACAGAATAGCGTGATCCGCTGAAGTTTACCTCTTGCTGCTCCTTTCCCTTTCTTCTCTCCTTCCACATCCGCTGTCATCAACAGTGTTTTCCTTCCTCATTCGCTGTCTCCAACACCGACTGCATGCAAAGAAGATTTCCTCGTCGTGCGGCTTTTGATTTCTTCAAAGAAGTTTTTCATTCCGCATTTCGTGCCTCCAAGGAGTTCTGCACCGTCTTTAGGCTTTAACTTCTGTCTGCTAGCATCAACTAAAAAACTCCAGCTGAGCGCTTCTGCGTGAAGACATCATCATCTCATACAGTAAAGCATAGGAAGGACAGACGAATAATACAACCTAATACCAATTTGTCAATATGAAATGTTTCAATTTTGTCTCGAGGGACCATCCTCGAAAGTGGTATTACCAAAATTCTCTTGCATCTGTCGAAGACCTGCGCCGGCAACTTCGGATATATAATCAGAGTCTCTAGGCTCATCAAAACCAAGTGCTTGCCGAGCTTCGGCCATCAAGAAAACACTCCCGCACACCACTAGAATTTCTCCATTCTCTTCCGCTAGCTTGAGACCATTCGTTACCTGCCTTGTGATTGATCGATCATCCAGACAGAAGTGACAACTAGAGAACTTCGGTTCAGCAGCTACAATGTCTGGAATCTTGGCTGCTCGTGGGTGCGCTGCCTCAACTAGGTGGATTGAGGATGGCCCAGCTACACTCAACAAAGTACGCGCACATTGGCCAAGATCCTTATCCGAGGACATGCCCACGACAAATCGAAATGATTGCAATGGGTATGTCTTCCGCAATTTCACCATCAAGTATTCCATTGCCGGGGGGTTATGGGCCACATCCAAAATGGCATTCACATGCTCCATTTGAACCTCTTCAAAACGACATGGTGGTCTAATCAGAATACCTTTCTGAATGTCGTCTAATGTCAAATCTTCAAGAAAGCTCGGGTGACTTCTTTGCAATAAAGTTAGGGCAGCTGTGGCGATCCTTTGATTCTCTTCGTCGTAGTCCGTAGTGTGGTGGTCTAGGGTGTCCCCAAGAACCAAGTCTGGGACGTAGTACGAGGCAGCACCAACTGCCTTTGCGCAGTCTTGAAGCACTTGCTGTGGACAATTCGGTCCAACAAGCACCGGACAACCTTTCTTAATTATGCCTCCTTTTTCTTTAGCAATTTTCTCAATAGTGTCTCCTAGTATTCTTGTATGCTCCAGTCCAATGGAAGTAATAACGGTAAGCCCAGGTCGAGCAATTACATTTGTGGCATCGAGCCTGCCTCCAAGGCCAGTTTCTAGAACCACGAAGTCGACTTGATGTTTCTCGTAGAATAAGAAAGCTAGAAGCGTGGTAATTTCAAAGAATGTCGCTGGAATATCATGCTTGACGCACAACTCATACACTCTTGGCAACAATTCAACAACCTCGTCTTCGGAAATCAGCTCACCATTGACTTGCATTCTCTCACGAAACGAAGAAACATGTGGACTGCAAAAGATTCCAACTTTCTTTCCACTCTGTCTCAATGTATTGGCAATCTTGAGGGCAACACTACCCTTCCCATTCGTCCCTGCAATATGGACAACAACGCGACTAGGCTGAGGAAGATAATGTGAGACGTTTCAACGACCATTCATGTTCGATTTCATATTCTTACATCATCCATAGGATTTCCCACCAAGTCGTCCAACCTTTGAATATTCGTCAGCCCCATCTTTACTGGGTGGAACAGATTCGTCAAATACAAGCGACGAACCCATTTTTCGTAGTCACTGTGTTCCGTGCTGGATGCATCGTCTGTGCTCTCTAGTAGGGACATTGTGGAAGCAGCCAACGGTCGAGAAACTCTTGATATTGGGAAGAGGTCCGAGCCAATGCTTCTTGTTGCCGAAACAGCTGTCGGGGTATTCGCCAAGCGGAAGCTTGTGATGGCCGCGGCTTTGAATGTTGCAGTTAGAATCCGACGACGCCACTGCAGGGAAAAGTTCATTCGGCTCAACAACGCTGTTGGGAAAAGAGCTAGGAGCCAGGTAGCGTTGATCAATGGTACATTGACTTTCATGCAGCCTAAGCAACACAAAAGCTTTACGACGCACGATTTTGTTGCTTCCTTCGAGGATTGAGGACGTCGTGATTTTTTCGTCGTGTTGTCTGTCGGTGGTCCGCGAGATTAATTCCCGATTGGACTCGCGAGTACTACTGTCCTCTTAGTCAAAGGAGAGTAATAATGATCACAAGCCTCCTCATTCTTAGATTTATACTGGTCGTTATACGCAAGTCTAAACAATGGTGAGATAGAGACTTATACGTCAGGAGAAGTAGGATTCCCAAAGTGATCTTTCATCCTATCAACTACATGGGTCAGCAGAACAACAATCTTTTCATCAGGCTTCACGACCATACGATACTTCCTTTGTATTCAAGTTTACCGCCAGTATCTTCGTTCACCTGAATGCTGTCCAAAAGTCTCTCCAAGTCAGTTATAACCTCTCTATCCTCTACCAGAGTATTATCATTCTCTTCGGTACCATCGTCTATGAGCGATTCGTCCGTTACGCCAGAACCTTTCCCCAAAACATCTACAAATGACAGACGGGGAAAGGTCGACTACAAGACGATGGCTGTAGAGTGAGTGCTGTAGGTACTCGTTACTCAAGAGATCCAGAAAGACTAGTTTAGTTTGTATCAATGATGATTAGGCACAGTGCCTACAAACAAATTAACCCAGTTTCCTTTCTTCACAGTCCATTTCAATCAGCCCTGCTTTCAAAACGTGATAAAGCTCCCCGGAGACAGGAGGCATGGTGCAATTTTTGTCGACCTATCATTCTTTTGCTGTCTTCTTGCATGCTGTCCTTGTCCAAAGTCCATTCAAGTTTTTTCTATTGGTTGCTCATGCTGTGGGATCCATATCAACGCCTTCCCCAATGGCCCAGTCTTCATCATCAATCAAGCTCATGAAGAAATCCTCTGCTCCTCCATCCCCGGGGTTGAATTCTTCCTCAGGAACAGCTCCTAGATGAGCTGGCAAAAAAGAAGTCTTTCGCTTGTGCACTTTCGCAGGACGCGATTGCATTTCTTGTTGGGCATTATCCGCTTGCTGGTTCTGCTGAGAAGCTGTCGCATTTGCAGCAGCTGGCTGTGTCTGCTGTACGTGCTGAAACAAGGGTTGCTGTTGAGTACTAGCGGTGCCATACTGTGGTGTATGGATCCCAGCAGAAATTGGAAGCGAAGGAATTGTTGACGGATACTGCATTGTGCGGTCATGTTGATATCGGGAGTCTGAAAACAAGTTTTCAGCCGTTGCAGCATTTGAAGTCATATATGGCTTGCTATACCCATGAAAAGATGTTGGTGGAAGCGCAATAGGGACAGCATTGGATGCAGGATTTGACAAAACTGACGATGGAATTATTCGTTGTACGAAGCCAAGCTCTTGCTTCACAAGCGGCTCTGCTTCTCTTTGCCCATCCTCAGGATGAATTTGATGGCATTGAGGTCTGTCGGGATCATCGATACTTAGACTGGACGAGCTTCGCTTCAGAGACTTCAAAGAACCGGATGATGCGAACGAGCCTTCTCTCGTCAGATTTCCATCGTCGTCCTTCTGTTGCCCAAGTGATTCAAATGAGGGTCTCCGTGACAAGCGCTTCAATGTTGCCGAGTTAAAGCTAATTAAGTTTTGTGGGAGAGTTCCAATCACTTTCCGCAAGCGATGGTTTAGAATATACAGATTCGCAGATGTATGCTGAGTTATAGACACCTCGAACTCTTTCCCATTTTTTTCGTTCGCTAGACGATCCCTCTTCGTCTTTAACAGTGTCTTCATTCGGTCTGAATTGAGTTCTGCCCAACGAGCAAAATTCAGTCTTTGTTTAGGAGTAAGTTGCTTTGCTACAACTTGCTCGCGTTTACGGATACTTTGAGTAGCCGCTTTCAAGCTCGAGTCAAAGGCTTCCACAGCTAATCCTGCTGCCCTTGATGTGTGACGATCTAGCCAGGTTGTGGGAGTCTGCAATAAAGTCCTCTGAAAGTTGCGAACACGTTCTTCCTGATCGTACGAAAGACCAATTTCGTTGCAAACTAAAGGCCACATGGAGTTGATGGGTGTGACCTTATCGTTCCCCCCTAATAACATCTTCTCACCGGTTATATAAAACAGACAAATTGAGTTGAAGAGAGCCGGCTTCGAATTCACGAACAATAAACACTCACCCTTTCCCCTATTCGTGCTGCTGAGAGACGCTCACTTGCGGCTCGACCTCCACGGAAGTATGAATCCCCTTGCAACGTGAGCCACAAGATAAACTTTGAATGAGGTGACAGTGCCAAACTTTTCAGTTGCTGAATGTAAAATGTTGATAGAACTGTAAGTTCTGAGCTCGTGCGATTGAGGCCACCATCTAATTTTGCGATTAATTCTTCGATGGGTGCTTCAGCTTTGAAAATAGCGTTCCTCTTCTTAATTACAGTCTCCATTGCTGCCCCTGCATGCTCACGACGCCCTTGATCCATCTCGATCGACAGTTGTGTAACTCGTTCTTCAAGCACCTCCAAGTATTGCTTCCTTCGACGCCTAGAAAGACGGGCGGACTCACGGTTTCTCTCAAGTCGTTTCTGGCGACGGCCTGTTACTGCAGCACCCTTTGGTCGATCTTGCTGCACCTTTGCACTTTGACGCTTCTTCGTGGGAGCAATTTGCCTCTCCTTTTTCGTATTCTCCTTGTTCTGGATTGCGGGGCGCGAAACAGAATTTCCCATCTGCAAAAGTCCGTTTGAAGAATTTGGCATTGCTTCACTCATAGTCCAATCTGGACATTGTTGCTGAGAGTTCACTGGCGCTGCACTCGCTTCAGCCGAGTTCTGTGTCCGTGCCGATGTGTGAAGAGGATGGGGATTGTATCGCAACTCGGCTGGCGACGGGTTGTGCATAGGTATTGGGGAAACACTCGCAGCCGAAAAAGTGTCTTGCTGGGTCATTGATGAACGGGAGTCCACAGAGGATGATGGTTGCGGTGAAGAAGAGCTATCTTGCTTTCCCGATTTTTCATGATTGTACGGAGCCATCGCAGTCGATGTGATCATTGAAGGGCAATCTCAACAAGCTTGAAAGGACAAAGCTCTTCAAGAAGTGTTACAAGGACTGGGAAAACCTAAAAACAGACGCAGCTCCCCACCACGCACGAATCGAATCGATTTTTCGGAATGGATTCAAGGGCGAATGAGAACGAGAAAAATGATGCTGGCTGATGATGATTCGCAGGATCCTTGACTTACGTCAGCTATTATTGGAGAATGGAGAAAAGGAGGTATCATTGTATTGTTTTCTCTAGACTGCTTCAATTGCTAAATCCTCTGTACCTACCATTTCATTGAAGTCTATTTCATAGAACCATAGACAGGTTGGTATTTTGGTCGGTGCAAAGGGCAACACCTACCAGGGGACGCTACAGCCTGGATGGAGTTCAATGTTGGGGGAATTGGGGTCTCCTTTGGGGGATGTGAGACTGAAAGTATTGAATGATGGAATCTATGAAATGATAGATCATACCGGAACAGCTGGCTTGGATAGTTTTAACTCTTCAACTCCTTTACAATATTAAAAACAAACCACCAGCTATGACGAGACTGGTTAAGGAACCAATGAGGCTTGGCGGAGAACGGCTGTGACATCAACTTCAAAGACTCGGATGGTCTTGTCATCACCAGTGGAGGCAATTACTGCTACTCCATTTTCAAAGAAGTTGATGTCGAAGTCATTTATGGTTTCGGTATGGCCTGTGACAGTATGTACCAAGCTGCCGTTTCTGGCATCCCACAAGCGAATGATTCCACTAACAGAGCTTGTGAATACAACTGGCAGTTTCGGGTGCCAACGCAGGCGAGTTATGCTGTCCTTTTCTTCGCCTGGTGGGACACATGCATGCCGGCATAATCCATCTTTCGTCAAATCCCAAATCTTCAAACGACCATCGATCCCCCCTGTTGCGCACCACGATTGCTGGAACGGGCAGAAGCCTACGGCCTCGACGCTCATTGGATATTCCATCTCTTCATTATCGACTCCATTCGCCTGAAGAGGAGCTTCAAAATGACGAAGCGTCGTGACCAACTTTTTTGTCCCAATATGACACACGTGAGCACTGCCATCTTCCGATCCGACTAGGACAAGCATACTATCGCTCCCACCATTGCTCGCAAGACAAGTTAACCCAGCTTCACCAAGACGGAATACATGCTTGCTCATCCCAGTTTTTGGAGCCCAAATACGCAATGTTCCATCAGCACTGGCAGTTAGCACCCACTTCCCATCTGGCGAGAAGCATCCAGCTGTGACCGCTTGCTCATGGCCAACAAATACTTGGAGACAACGATTCAATGGTATGTGAAACATCCACACAGTTCCGTCCCCAGATCCGGCCAACAATACAGACCCTCCTTTTGGATGAAAGGAGAACCATTCCACATCGGACGGGCCTTCCAACTTTAGCTTTTGTTCTGCTGTGTCTGGATCATACAAGACGATGGTTCCGTCATACGAACCCACTGCTGCGAGACGGGGTGTTTTGCTCAGATCAGGGCTGACGTACGGTAGATTGTATGCGACACAGGAAACGGTATCCTTGTGTTCGAAAACTAGTTTCTTGCTTTCCGATATATCTGAAGTCACTTTATGACAGAACGCTAAATCATCACCACCGCCTGAAAGGACATACAGAACCCCATTTTCAATGTGTCCAGCGACGGTGTAAACTGCGTCCGTGTGCGTTTCGATCTTAAGCTTAGACATGTCCACGACGGCCTCGCCATCACCACCGTCGCCGTTGTCATCATCAGCCATGGGTGCATCTTCATCGACATTGACTTCAACAACATCGTTCATATCCACAAAAGCAAAATTTGCATCAGCTCCGTCATATTGGGGGTGCTGATCTTCAGAACTTTGTTCGGTTTCCATCCTTGCACAGTATGATTTTTGTTTTGGGTGGCTATTTGTTAATTTCAAAAAGTCGCGCGATTTGGACTCGCATCATCATTTCATTCGTTCATACGGCACACTACTGCACACTACAGTATTTTAGACGTCTGTGCAAGATACACTGACTGTACGCGATCGTACTCCTACACTCACTTTACTCATGTCAAGCAACATACAGTAGCCATTGAAAGTCCTTCCTCTGGACTATATACCCTAATGTAGTCCACTGAGTTCGGGCTGTCGCGACCTTGTCATTGCACCAGGTTAGAGTGACGAAGGAAATGTCCGGGATTGACATCCACATGTTCTAGATTCCCATGTTCAGACGTGGAAACTCCATGATATCCACGTTGTCGTGAAGGTCTCTCGAAGACACTCCAATTTTGTACATGGATTTTCCCCCCATCGAATCCATAATATTCCGCTCTGCAATTACAGTACTTCTTGTCATCACTTTACTTTTCCTGGAATGGCAATGTATGGGAAGCCAGAATACTGGAACGAGCGATATCGAGTTTCGGGAAGCTATGATTGGCTTCAAACATACAGTTCTCTTCGAAACCTCCTATCTCTGGAGTCTTTGATGGGGACTTCAAAGCTCAAGCCGCTAAGTCCGTTTCCGTCTCACGAGAAGTGTCGTGTTCTAATTTTGGGGTGTGGTAATTCTTCCTTCGCATTTGATATGCTCAAAGATGGGTGGAAAGGGCATATAACGAATGTTGACTTTTCTTCTACGGTCATCCAACAGATGAAACAGAAGTACGTCGGATACTCTGATTTTCTGGATTTTCGATGCGTTGACATTACGAAGGGGCTTCCATTTGCGGACAAGACCTTCGATTTGATCATATGCAAAGCTACATTTGATTGTGTATTGACTAGCGCGGCCTCTATATCCAGCATTAAGAAGGTTGTTGAAGAGTCTTCAAGGGTTTTGAAAAATGGACAGTAAGTGAACATTGTGCGCTGGTGACGTCAAATCAATGGAAATGTCTAAAGAGTTTAACAATTGTATAATGTAACAGTGGGATTCTATTTTTGGTATCTCATGGTAACCCCGACAGCCGGGTCGTATTCTTGGAGCGAGATTCAGACCTTTCCTACTACTGGGGGGAAGTCAATATACACACTGTTGCTCGAAGATCCGCAAGCAGCACAAAGTGAGTTCCTATATCGCAATCCTCAGTTTATCTGGTTCAAATCTAATGCCGCAGCCGCGATTTTTTGCATTCTCGTAGAAACGACTATGTTTATGTTTGTCGCAAGCGACTGGATGATATTCCACCTCTCAAAAGTCCTCATCAGGCGTTTTCTTGTAAGACAAATGGAAGTGACACACACAAACCAGACACTTCATTGAAGAGTTCGAATACGCGTGTTGGATGAATGCTTTTTCTTTTGTCAAAAGCTAGAGGAAGAAGTTGATGGTATCGGTACTGGTACTGTAGTTTTGTTGATCCTCTGCCCTCTGCCCTCTGCCGTACGTGTACCCTTTTACCGGTGCAAGATATATTATTCAAATAATTTTAAAACGACTAGTCCTAGGATTATAAAAATGATACGTATTTTAATATTTTAATATTTGGTATTGATGATCAAATTTCTGTGACGTAAACACGCGTGCACCCTTTGGACCTGTGCCCCGTACTGTACGTACGTGGTACGCCTGTAGAATTGTTCGTACTCTGATGATTTTCATTCTTCTGGTCAGTACCAGGTACGGTGCTGCAGTTACAGCGATCGATCCTCTGTAATCATCTACTGTATCTATTGTAGGTAGTCTTGACATGATGCTGTCAAAGAGAGTCTTACACACGTCATTTGGCTTGGCAAAGAGCCAGATTGTGAAGTCGAATGGGCCAGCCCTACTGATTGGACTTCGCAGTTTTGCTACAACTCCAAGATCAGCCAAAACGGGTGATCCAAATGTTGAAGACGACAACATTCTTCCTGTAAGGTTCTTTCGCTGTCATGAAATCTTTTGTATCCTGAAAATCTGAAAATAACTCTAAACCTGCCCTCTCTTGGTGTCCCAAAGACTCCCTGGGAAACAATTTTCGATCGCGCGTCGCAAATTTTTTTCATCTCTGAAATTGCGAGAGCCATGACGATGGCTCTGGAAATCGGTTTGAAGCCAAAGGTTACAATCAATTATCCTTTCGAGCACGGATATTTGAGTCCACGATTCCGAGGAGAACACGCACTTAGACGATACCCAACTGGAGATGAACGTTGCATTTCTTGCAAGCTTTGCGAGGCAATTTGTCCAGCACAAGCCATTACTATCGAAGCCGAGACTCGTGAAGACGGTGCTCGTCGAACCACCCGCTATGATATCGATATGACAAAATGTATTTATTGTGGATTCTGCCAGGAGGCGTGCCCAGTCGATGCTATTGTTGAGGGTCCAAACTTTGAATTTGCCACCGAAACGCACGAAGAGCTTCTTTACGATAAGGAAAAGCTTCTTTCAAATGGTGACAAATGGGAAAAGCAAATCGCCAAGAACCTGATGAACGAGTTCCTCTATCGTTAACTTGTAGCGGCAAGCGTTAAGAATATTGCGAAGTCCTTGAAGCTTCTCGACATTATTTATTTCTATTAGGTTTATCAAGCTACATGAATACCAAATTTTTAGCTTGCAACAACGTTCTTCTTTTTCTATCCTATAGATCCAAGTTGGATTCTGAGCTACTCCTTGAATCGTCAGGATCGTCTGTCGATACCATCATTGGCGACTTTCCGTCGAGCGATGGTTCTTTAAAGAACCAGTACACAAGAAATAATGAGAGAAGTATTACTTGAACAAAAGCAGCGAAAATAGTCGATTTCCAGAATGGTTTCCTCTCCTGTATCTCACGAATCCGTTTGTCCCCTATGTTTCTCTTATCATCCGCGTTTGATGTTGACCCCTGCTCTTCTTTCTTCAGTGCTACGTTTAAAAGCGAAGAGTCCCGAATTCCCTGAACATCGGAAAGATCCTGATTGTTTAGCTTGTTACTGAACATCTCTTTTGTCTTCTTCTTATAATCTTGTTGTTTGCGCATGTATTGGGTTTTAATTCGCTTCAACTCCTTCTCTTCCTGAGGATGTTTGTAAGTGATCTCGCTATTGGCTGCATTCAGCGCAGTTTGAGCTTCCTCCATAGTCGAAGCAGGGTCTAGTAGTGACGCTTTCGCTGCTCTCAACAAACCTTTTATATTTTTTGCGTCCTGTTTTAAGACTTCTACAGCAGACTGCTTTGCGTCATGATATTGCTTTTGTCGGAGATACACAGCAACAATGTTGTTCAAGGAATCCAACATTATTTGAGTAGCTTGGAGCCGCTGTGGGTGATCCTCTTCAACCTGATTAAAATATGTACCCCCTAACAAAGTCTCCATTTCTTGCGCAGCCTTCTTGTATAGGCGAAGTGCTCGAGCCATGGCTGCATCGCAACTAGGTTCTTGTTCGCTCGTTGGGACAGGACACCACTCATTCTGCAATTTAGCAATTTATTGAGGAAGAAATTTAAAACATGTGGAAATTGAATAGAAGATATATAATATTCACCGTACCTGATAAATATCGTTCGCGATGGCCTTGCGACTAACTGCCTTTTGAATAGTAAAGTATGGATTCAGTCTGGAAGTGTCAACTACTATCTGAGTCACAGTAATTTCAAACATGATGTTGGTATTCGAAGCAAGTTGTGTTTTTCCATGCTTCCTAGTGGGACGTCAACGGTTGAGAGAACAAGTTAAGGAGGGGTTGCACAAAAACTGGCCATTGACAAACCTACCTTGTGCCTGATGAAAACGCATATTTGGAATGGGACCATACGCGAGCTGTGGATCCACTATCCATGAACCGAATGGCAAGTTCCAGTGCAGGCAAAACATCTCCATCTCCGACGAGAATAAACCAGTCTTTTACTTCTTGAACCATAGGTCCACCAATAGACAATCGGTTATCTGCAACGCGGGCGACAAAATCAATCATCACGGCGTCACTCGGTTGAACTGGTGTTGGGTCTTTGTTGTTCCTAGGCCGATCCGTCTTGATAACCTTCATAACCAAGTCTTCTCCCATGAGAGGTTTCCACTCTTTATCACCAGGAAAAGGAGCATTTTCATCCTCCACAGTTTCTATCTCTACCATGATTGATTCACTTCTTCCTCTCTCAATTAATGCGTCTGAATCTGCTTCGATGTTGCAGCGATCGGAATTGGTCGGCGGGTGTTTCCGACACCTCCCGCCCAACGACAACGATGCCGGTTTTGCCCGTCTTACTAAGATACCAACAGTTAGTGAAGCGAAACAGAAAAGGTATCATGGTGGACGGTGTGCTTTTCACAAGGTGGAACAATTTTACAGTTTTTTCTACAGTTGTTTGCCGTTGCACAATATAATGCCAATTTGAAGCCTTCGTTTGAGGTTTTGGTTTTGAAATTTGCAGTACCTGTGATAATATGTTGAAACATTGCCTTTTGGTCGATCACTGATACATTTCCCATTTGATTTCTTGAAGTGAAACTTCTGGTCTCCCATCTTCGCAATCAACGCAAGAAAAAATACTTTGTCTCCGCCGTGACATGAAGTTTTTGGAAGCATTCGACCCTCCGACCCTTGTATGTCGGCATAGTTGTCCCGCTTTCATCTATTTTTCTACAGGGTCGCATTGTTGATCGAGAGAATCCTGCAAACCAAGTGAAAATTGTGACGACTGATTACCATGCTGCACTAAATATGACGAAACGTCTGTGGCCATACCCAATTTGTTCACCAACGAAGTTCCGCAAGATCGTTGGGATGCTAGAGCATCGATAGAGAACAAATCTGCACCTTGCGGTTTGTGGGATCGTGGCTCTGCTAAAATAGGTTGTATTTCATGACTGGTAAGACTCTCGTCGTTGTGTCTTGTAGGTTTAGTGCGACCGAATTTCGTTTTGCTTGACAAGAGCTCCCTTGTTTCTTTTGTTTTCTTCGCCAAACTTCTCATTTTCATTTTGAAAATTAAGGATGGCTGAAACGGAGAACTGCGACTCTTGGTTTGCAAGTGCTCTGTGGCATTGGATTCCATTGGTCCTACATCCATCCCGAGGGCAGCTGCTCTTCCCATTCCACTCTTGGATAGTCCTCCTGCTGACGTTCCCACCATGGCCTCGTTTGTCATTTTGTGGTCCAAAGAGTCGACCTCATCATCTTCTGAACCCTCCTCACTCTCAAGAAATGACAGTTGTTGCATGATTGGTAATAATCACCAGCAAGTGATCGTGCTGCAAGCTGATAATTGGCTGATGGCAGTTATATCCAAGGCATATTATGGAGAAATGAGACCGTCCTGTAAAGGCAGCAATACTGTAGTTGCTGTGCGTGTTTTCTTTATAGCTCGGACATCGCACAGACCCTTCTAACCATGATATGATGCAATAATGATGAGATCTAATCCCAAATCACAACAAGAAAGCAGTACGGTGGAGTAAATTTGAGTTTTATCTGATTTGCTCTAAACCATCCACATGCCCTATCTGGAATAGCTGCTTTTCGTACTGCTTTAGATCACTGGAAACATGTTTTGCTCTAGATTGCAATGACCTCTCTATGCGGAATCGATCCCGGACGATTTCCAAGAAACGAGGATTGTGGTAATCTGATTGTGATCGGACATTCTGGGCTAACGTTTGACATGACATTGATTCATTTGCAGATCTCAGCTTCTGAGCCATAGATAACCTGAAGCATGACATATTTGCTTTTGAGGTTTCATCATAATGAAGTAACTTCAACATTGGAGAAAGGTAGTCCTCATCCAATTGTGCAATTGATGTTCCATATGCGGAGGTAGTTCGTGGTGAGGGAATTGATCGTGCAAAAGTTTCATTTCGGCCAACGCCTTGCAATTTTTGTCTCTTTTGCGGATTTCGTGGAGCTTCGACTTGCTGATCATCATCGTCAGTTCCGGAGAGTGGACTGCCAAGCAGACCTATCAAAGAGGACTTTTGGTTTGATGCCTTTTTCTCATTTGCAGAAGAAGACGATTCCGAACCATAACCCCCAAGCGCATCCATCTTTTCTTTGGCATCAACTAACATCAACATCATTCCAGCACACGTTGTATCATTTAGGACTCTTTCTGTCCGTTAGAAGTTTTAACCGCAGTTATATATCCTGTACGGTACCGGTACACGTGTACCTCCTGGGGTACACGTGTACCGGTACCAGGTACCAGGTACCGGTAGCTGAGATTGCTTTTCTAACGGCAAAAATTCAAATCATGGTTGATAGATGCCATAATTGGTATGTACCCACCCCGGTACAAGGTACTTGGCAAGGATGACATCGAATAAACGAAAAAACGGAGACGCTTTTTCCCATAGGAGCAATGGCCCATCTGTTGTTGTGGTTACAGGGTTGAAAAATGAGGATGAAAGCTTTATTGAGCAGGGTTTGCATAAACTTCATCAGCATCTGTCATCTGAAGACTTCTTGTTGAATGCGATCGAAAGTATTGATCAAGGAGTAAACAGGCGACGCGGAGAGCTACAGGAGAAATCATATAAAATCAAGTTTGGTCTTGAACATCAACTTGGGCAAGAATTAGATGCTTGTAGGCATGAGTCTCGCGAATTGGTTGACTTGGAAGGGCAAATCGCAAGAGTGAAAGAAGCACAAAAATTGTTGGTCCAAAAAATGGAGAGTCTGGACAAGATTCAACATGGGTTACAGAGTACTATTTCAAAGTATCAAGAAGAGGCTTCTCATGAGATTGATTCCATTGATCAAGTCGAAGAAGAACAGAAACGTTTGGTTCCTCGCCTGAAGACTCAAATTTCACTGTATGCTTCAACAACCGGCATCAAGTGGAACTTTGCCCAAGACGAAATGTTGTCAGGACAGGTGGTAAGTTATTTCAATATAATCAGAAATCGATGCCATGCAGCTCCTTGTCTCACCCTTTCTCGTGCTTATGATGTACAGTGTATATCAAAGACGACAGCATTACAATCATTCTGCGTCGACCCCAGAGACTACTCGTCTGTCGAAACGGCAAATCGGCTCTGGAAAATGATTGACGTTGGAGCATGATGGATAAACGGGGAATAGGGATGATTCATCGAAGCAATTTGAGGCCTCATGGTGATTTAGTTTTAAACTTCTATATTGAGGACTTAGGTATGCTAATGCCAGAATCATTAAGATAAAGTATCGTGCTCTTTCTCTTCCATGTTTCAAACATGACTCTAGATGAGATGGGCGTGTCCTTCACTTTCCGGTGGTCACTTCTTTTCCGAGCTTTGCAGTCGGTGGAATATATGCGCAGTGTGCTGCAGCAATGGCCGTTTTAATGCATTCAAAATGCAGCTGCTTTCTTGAAGAAGTCAACGATCAATCGCTCCATTCAAAATTGGAAATATCTCCGAGATCGATATCCATATTGATCGGCATATCGTCATCACCAAAGAATTCAATCTCTGCAAGAGGATCTGCACCATCCATGTTTGCCATCCCACTAGTGTCCCATACTTCACTCAACGTTCTGACGATGAGATCAATTTCATCGCTTTTGACTTGATCTGCACTTAGGCCTCCGGAAAAGAGTAGCTGGCGGCGTTCGTCGTAGCTCATTCGCCGAGGAAAAACATAAGACTGTATGCGCTCGCTAGCATTTACCAAAGAATCTGGACGGCAGTCGCTATATTGCCACCCAAATGAGACGGGTAAACCATCATGACAGAGAGGGTGATCCCCGACTATTAATGAGAATTCCCGTTTGTGCACCCTATCCCATCGCACTCGTTTCTTGGAAGATCTGCGGTTTTCGTGTAACGAAATTGGACAAAGGATTGGACTGTTGTCATCATCTGAATTTGTTCGGGACGCTTGTCGAACCGGGTCACTTAAAACTCTCATTTTGTCTTCATGTGAGAAGCCCATCGTGAATGTTAGTGATATCCCAGCGCAAAAAGACTGATGGTATTTTAATAAAAATCAGAATGATGACACAGCGCCGGGGTGCAGTACTGTACCGGTAGGTTAGGTTACGCTAACCTACAACATGCTTTGATTTTAGAAAACCAAATTGGAAATATTCAGGTACGTATCGGTACATGGTACTGGTACACTGTAGACGTAGACAGTGGCAAAAGTTCGATACGATACAGTCGATCACGATATTCTCCATACGGACGAAGACCGTACCTTCAGTCATTCTTCCTCCCTTCCATCCTGTACCTCTAGTATTGGTAAGTAGTGAGCCATATGACAGCTTAGTTTATCGATAGCGGTTGAATTGATCCGTTCGTTGACGGATTGATTTTTTTCTTTCCCACTCCACCTACCCTGTTGGGCACTGGGCAACCATTCTTTAGCCCAGTTCCCAGTAGGCAAGCAGGTCTCAGATATCCTGCTACACAGGATATCTGAGATTGGTCTGCCGGGTTCCTTACTGTACCGGATGGAGCCCGTAAGACCAGCTTCACACCACAACCCACCAGCTTCGCACCCGTAGAAAGACCTAGGACGAGCACACAAGCGGAAGGCACCAGTCGGCTTGATATTGAGAGTTTTTTCTCGTGATTACGGATGATCGTGACCACATGGTCCAGGTACATCGGCTACGGTACGGGACGAACGCGCAACACAAAACCAAATGCTTCCTGTATTTTTCAATAGCAACTTTGAACTTGCATTGCGGCTTTGCACATTAGATATCAAGTCATCTGTATGCGCTTGGTTTGAGCATGTGATAGAATATTGAAAAATGACGTTTTATTCTAGAAATTGTTGCATCTTCAATCTTCCATTGTTTTGAAGTCAATGTTCTGAAGGTGTAGTGATGGAATCATCTTTATACTGACGTATTATTTTTTCCTACAGCATCGTTTGCGGGGATCTAGTTTTTGCTGAGCCCTTTCCCCTTGGTCTCAATTCATCATTATCATCATTTATGTTCGGCGGCTCGGACGCTTTAGTCGTAAGCTTCTTTCGCACCGCTTCGAGCTCCCTCATCCTTTGTCTGTGCGAACTCGCTCCTGCACTTTCTTCAATTGCTGTCACTGAGAGACTACTCCAATGGGGGCTACTATTCCCCAGTACTCGCGCTTGTCTGAGATGTTCAATCTCTCGGCGTCGCTCTCGAGCAGACTTGCTATTTGGGTCTTTGATCATTGAGCAATCCTCTGGAGTTGTCTGACGGTTTTGCACATTGTTATTTGAAATAGAAATGCTCGTTTTTACTTCATCAGTGGATAATCTTGTTCCGCTGCCAAGACTGACGTCATCGAGCGCCTCCATTGCAGACTTAGAGTCTTCATTGGAACCCATGGAATTTGGTGATCGAAGATCTTCAACAGAAAACTGATGCTTTGTACTAACCTGCAGCACTTGGATCGGGGGCATGCTCCTGGATTTGGGCAACGAGTAGTTTGATACGGTTCCTTCCGTCTTCTTATCCTGTAGAATAGCTAGTACCCGGTGTTGCTGTGCAAACACGTCATCATACATTGCCAAGAGTGACAAACGAGAAGCTTCGAGCTTCAGTGATAACGCATCGTATGAATGGAATTCATCCTTGTTTCGAAGCTCGTGGCGTTTATATAGTTGTTGTATCGCTTTTGCAGAGTTTTTCATTATCTTCAGTTGGTGCTGCTTCGCAAGCATTTGGTGCATCAGCTGACAAAGGCGTGATTCCATTCCTGTTGCTTTCTGCAACTTAACCTTGCGCTCACCAACCACTTTTGCGATAACCTTCCCGTATTTCCCTGAGTCTTTGTCTCTCAATTCAGTTTCCATTCGCTTCAAAATTTCTACTAGTGTTATTCGTCTCATTTCCAACGCATCCAGCTCTAGCGACCTATTGGAGCGGATTTGTTGTCCCTTTCGACGAATTTCATGCAGTGCCAGAAGAGTTTTATGTGACTCATTTTCAAGTCGCAAAATTTCAGGATCACTCTTTGTGTTGTATGAGTGATTCCAGGATCGGTATAGTTTTTCTTCGTCTGTGTTTCTGATGTTTGCTTTCATCATTCATCATCAATGAGCTCAACACGTGTTACATCTATGCCTTCAGTTTTTTTGCTGCAACAACAGTCGAGTTGATCATCCGATTTTTTGAATATGAATAATATTTTTGAAAAAATGTCAGGAAAATAGAAACCGCCAAAAATGACAAAGACTTGCGATAACGCGCGCTAATTCATATCTACGCGGTAAAATTGAAACGGTTTTCACACAGGAAATTCGGCAGGTATCACATAATCTTGGTCAAACCATTTGCTTGCGTCTACCAGTTTCTACATACGGTACGTGACGGGAGCTGGTGCCATATCCAGGTTACTGCAATTCAAAAAAGGCGAATCAAAAATA